GGGGGGGGGGGGGGGGGGGGAGTTGGGCAGAGCCGGGCATGGGACCACTGGGTGACAGAGCAGGGATGGGGGTGGCGGGCGGGGGGCAGAGAAGGGAAGGAGCCAAGCTGGGCACAGGACCACTGGGGGGCAGACTCGAGATCAGACTTGGGATTCAGCAGCTGCTGGTCCAACATCTGCAGCAAAGGCACTGGTAGCCCCCCGCTGGGCACCAGCCGGGCTTTGTCTGGGGTCCGCCAGGGAGGAGAAGGGCAGGGTGGGTCTGGGGAGGGGAGGCTATTGCGGTGACAGCACTGGGGCTGGAGGAGGGATGTGTGTTTTTAAAGCTATTTTGATTTGGGGCTGGTGGCTGTTCTTTGGGGTCATGTGGCTGATCTCATTAGGGGACTGTCGCTGGTATTTGGAGATGGGATGGGGGTGATGGGATGATTGGAGATCAGGGCTTTGGAGATGAGTTGGGGGTGAGGATGTGTTGCTGTTGGGACCCTTGTAGAGGGAACAGTGATGGAGTCTCACCAGAGGATTTATGTATGTTCAGTAATAATCCTGATGGATGCTCCATAACTGACCATTTTTAAATCAAGATTTAAAAGATCTGCTGTGGGAATTATTTTGGGGAAGTTCCATGGCCTGTGTTATGCAGGAGGTCAGACTCACTAGGTGATCACAATGGTCCCTTCTGGCCTTAGAGTCTATGAATTACATATGTTCAACTAGGGATCACTTCGTCCTCTTTCAGCAGGTCAGCAGCAACTGAGGTATTACTAGGCAGGAACCATAAGCACAGTAGCTGATTATCTGTGATGTGTTCTTGTGCTAATGGGCAGTATTTAGACCTTGAGAACCAAAGACAAAATTTACATAAATGCAGTATTTTAGCATGCTTACTTCATTAGCTACCTTCACTTGTATTATGTTTGCAAATCTATATCCCACTGAAGAATATTTCACATTATTGTGAAATTTACCAGTATAGCAAATAACTATAGAAATAGCTTTGTGGTCTTCTGTCAGATGCTTGGCATTCTTTTAATGAACTTCTTGTCAGTTTTTTTACTGTCTCTCTTTAATTAAACCTGTAGATTTGTAATCCTCACGCTTAATTTGGCCATGAATACTAAAATATATAATCCAGTGATGGAAACATGAATTAATATGTAGTCAGGTGACACAGGGCTTACTCTTACAAGCAACTTGCAGGATCATAACCCAAGTTTCACAACTGTGAGGCAAATACAGACTACTTCTTAGGGTACGTCTACACTAGAAACTTAATTTACAACCACGCAGTAATTACTGTGTTGGTGCATGTCTATACTATCCTTCTTGGGTCAGTGGTGGGTGACCTCACCAGGAGTGCTTCCACCGACCTACAAGGGGCAGTGTGGGGAGCTGAGAGCCTGGTCTCTCAGTCCACTCTCAGCTCCCTCCTGGGAGCTCAGCTGCCCAACAGGCTCCTAGTGGGCTCACGCCCCCCTCCCTGTTCCTCACCTTAGTGGCTTCAGATAGTATACATGCAGCACAATTGGAGGTAGTTGGCAACTAGACATGAGGGAGCACTGTTTTCACAGTGCTGAGCCTTGTCTTAGTAAGTTTCCTGTGCGATAGTGCTTGTGGGGGAGAGAAGAGGAGAGGAGTTGGTTGGGGTGGAACAGGGGGAGCTACTGCTGTGTAAATTCCCATGAAGGATTGCATCCACTAAAGTAGCCTTCCTGGAGCTGCTCTATTATTGTACTATTTACAATGTCCATAGAAGTACAGTAATCTTTTTAAAATTAAAACCTTTTCAGTGAACTATTTCCAAAATAAGAAGTGTGATTAGACTTATTTTTAGTCACATTTTTAATCCTACATATCTCTTTAAGGATTCATTTACACAATAAATATAACTTTTATTCTAAGTGCTAGCCCTAACTAAGCTGAATAGAGTGTAAACTGCAATCGTAGTAATGTACTTTGCATTTACTAAAATAGATCTTCAAGCGGAATATTCTCTATTTTTAAACAACTGATTTTTTTTTTAAACTGACAATATAATCCCTTTTAAAAGTTACTTCTCAAAATTAACATTAATGCAATATTATCTTATAATGGATAAATCTTGGGAGGGAAGTGGGGCAAATGTTGGATAATTTCAGGGTGTAAAATATTTTAAAGTATTTTTTTTGTTGATCGCTTTCCTGTAAAATGCCATATACCAACTTAGGAAATGTTTGTTCTTAAATACTTATTTGTAATAGAAGTCACTGCTTTGTATTTTTCTAAATTTTACAGGATTTCTAGACCTTCGTGGAACCTGTCATAAAGTTAGTCACATTGATCTCCACAGCAACTGCATAAATAGTATTAACCATTTACTCCAATGTATGATGGGACTGCACTACTTGACCAATCTTACTTTAGAAAAAAATGGAAAGGGCAATCCAGTCTGTGACACAACAGGTATGAATAATATACTAGATAATTACTTTGAACTCTAGTTACTGTCCAAACATCAGTGGCTTCTGTGTCTTGTAAACCTGTGATCTAGTTTCTGCAACTAGTAGCTTGATTCATAAATTATGGCCAGCCATCAAAAACCTAAATTCTGTCATACTGTGGTGACCTTTGTGATCAAATCTCTCTACTCCCTGATTCATTCTGTCAAAACCATTGAAGTTTTTCTTCCTTTCTACCTATACAATATACCATGCAGGCTGAAAGTAGTCTTTTTTTTTTTTTTTTTTTTTTTTTTTTTTTGTTACTATTATTTTTTGCTACATTTAAACATTAAGGCCTGATCAGAGAAACTGTTTATTTTCAAGAGCAGCGGTTGTCAAAGGTCAGCTGAGAACTGGCTGGTCATCTGGTGCTGCCTGTTTTTGTTTCCAGCTGCGAAATAGCATTAAGACATCTAAACACATTAATTGCTGTAGCAGGGATTTTAGTCAGTTGCAAATGGGCATAGAGGAGTTCTATGAAACAGTCTGTATTAAAATGTGGATCACACTGTGGACAAAATTTGAGAACTAAAAAAAATTTATCTTCAGGTCCTTAATAGAATTGTACCGGGGTTCTCTCAACATGTTCAGAGAAATGTCATGATATAACTAAAATATGACTCTGTTCTGCATGCTGGTGATGAGTGATAATACTTATTGTGCACGCATCTCATAAGGAATCAATTATGATAATCCAAGAACTAAGTTTGTCCCAATGTATTCAGTATTAGGGGGTAGCCGTGTTAGTCTGTATCTACAAAAACAACAAGGAGTCTGGTGGCACCTTAAAGACTAACAGATTTATTTGGGCATAAGCTTTCGTGGGTAAAAACCTCACTTCTTCAGATGCCCACGAAAGCTTATGCCCAAATAAATGTATTCAGTGGTACCATTCCAGGACACGGTGAGCCTGAACTGAAATTGTGAATTAAAAGAAATAATTAAACTTAATATGTAGTAGACTGATTAGGAAAAAGCATTTTTAAATATGACAGGTTTAAACTGAAAATATTAGTACAGAAAGAATGCCTTGGATAAATGTTATGCTGATAATTTTGAGTCAAACTTCAATTATCTTTAGCATGAAGGTATTTATAACAGTTGCCAGTAGTGAATACTATAGTTAAGGTTGAAAAAACTGTTTCTGAAGTATACATCTGGAATTGCAGGTTCATACTGTCCAAAATCTTATCTTCAGTCCAAACAGTGATCCATGTTTGGTTTCTGCACAGAGATGACATTTTTGGAAAGCTTGTGCAAAATCTGTGCCCTTGTTGCATTTAAAAAAAAAAAAAGTGATTTAAAAACAAAAACAAAAATTGAAAAAATTGGATTTTTTTATTTGTTTTTTATAAACCATTTGAAAATAAGACAAGCTATGTTAAAATCATTTAAATAAAAATGTAATATTAAAGCAGTACATGTTTGTTGCTGAAGTTGTAAAGAAAGAAAATCAAACTGCTGGCTAAGCACTGAAGTCGCTGGAACCTGTTTGTTGAAGTGCTACATCAGCCTTTGACAGCAGTAGCTTCTTTGGCAGCTGCTAAGTGTCACAGTTTCAAGGAGTTACTCCACCTTCTGTGGTCTGCTCCAGGAATGCCCCTCAGGTTCCTCTCTCTGTCACTTCTCTCTGGGCAGGGACCCACGTCCCACTTCTTTCTGAGCAGTGGTTTTAGGCTGCAGTACCCTTTCACTTCACTGTGTTTATTCCACACAGGCTTGACAAACATCCAGCCCCTGGACAGTGACAGGTTACTGGTAAAATATCTCTTTCAAAGTAGAGTATATTTATTTAAGTACAAAAGCATACAGAGAAAATGTACAAAACAGTAAGAGATGTAGATGAATACGAAACATATCACACATCAGTCTTATGGGGACCATGGCAGGTTTAATTTTTCCAGCTCTTCAGCAGGGCTAGGTCCCTCGTGGACCCCAGATCAGGTCTGTTTGTTGAATCCAAAAGGAAAGCCCCTCTGTCAGGTTAAATGAAGCCTTTATGCTCCAAAAACCTTTTGTTTTCTTGGGCCTCTGGTACCTGTTTGAACAGTATATATATAAATCACCCCACGGGTGATCTTCTCTGGAGCTGTGTACAATCCCAGGGACTGCAGTAATCACCCCACGCTGTTTTTAGTTCCTGGAAGAGCTGTGGTAAAGCTCCCCTGTGGAGTGAAATAATTCCTAACCCACAATGATTCACAAAATAGTCATATATTTAATATAAACTTAATACAAAGATAATATATCTGGTTGCAGTATCTGTTACAGAGAGAATATTTTCTTCATTTCAGTTTATTTAACTAGTTCAAGTCAATGACTAGTTTATTGAAAGTTAAGAAATTTATTGGGAGTTGAAAAAAGCAGGAAAGCTTGTTTTCCTCTTCCAATCTGTGAATAAAAACTAGATGGAAGAGGATGAGATTCACTAGGTCTGAAATCTTAAAGGAGATTGTTTCTAGTCACCTTCACTTCAGCTCCCCAACAACAGATAATACTTCCTTTTGCTTAATAAATTCAGTTGGTTTATCAAAACACGTCTTGTATTTTTTCTTACATATCCAGGACATACAAGGTAGCTTTATTCAAACCTCATGCAAACATTGGTGTAGCATGCGTACACTGGGGTTTGCCCAGGGCAACTACATCACTGTAGCTACAACAATGCAAAAAAAAAGCCCAACGTGTTAAGGCTTCAATTATCAACCTCCTGGAGGATTTTGTTCTATAATGTTTCCTGTTGACTGGCTGCTTTATATTGGGGGAAGGCATTTGTGGCTCTTGCTTTTAATGTTGTATATTTTACTTCTAATAGAAGGTTTGGTGCCTAGAATCTGGCAAGCATCTTTTATATTTAAATTGAAATAAACTTATGAATAATTCATCCCTAAAGGTTACAGAGAGATCATCCTTCAGACTTTGCCTCAGCTAACAGTCCTTGATGGAAGGAATGTATTTGGTGAACCAGTAAACTTGAAAGAAGAGAATTCATCAGATTTGCAATGTTTAGAAGGTCTCTTGGATTGTTTGGTTTCATCCAGTCCTCCATGCCATGAAGAACAGGTGCTCTCACTGCTATTTTTCAAGTGTAAAAACTGTACTAACTTAATTATTGCTATGTTGGATATGATTATTGAATGTCTTTTTTATTTATTTAAGAGTTGTGTTAACTTGCGAGTGATCACCCCTCATATTGATAAGGTGTTAGCTCAGTTTCGACAACGTGCAAGTATACCAACACAAAGTACCTTCAGTTCTTCTTCAGAACCAGTCTCCTCTTCAGAACCAGAAAGGGCTAAAACTGATAATGACTTATACAGTGAGATGAGGATCAAAAAACTAGAGGATCAAATTTCACAGCTCTTGCAGAAGGTAACTAGTCTTAAGGTACATCACATTTACACAAAAAGACCTTTTTTATGTTTCAGATGTGCATCTGTGATAAAAATCCAGGCCTTGCTGGCTGATGTCGATGTGGCAGAGTGAGGAGAGAAATGTGTATATTAATGTGTGCATACTAATCTTGGAGGTAATCAGATGCCATAAGTGATGAGGGGACAATATAAGAACATTCGTAAACTTGAAAAACTGTAGACCATACTTACAACAGATCATAGGAATTTGCATATTGGATCAAATGTGTGGTCCATTTAGTCCATTATGCTGTCTGTTATCTGATCATGTTGGGTATGAAGTTAATATTTTTCTTTAATCCTTTGACACATGCCACAAACCAGTCAGAAATATGAAAAGTGATAAAATCCTAGCACTGTGAAAGTTAATAATGATACAAAATAATGGCCCAATCAGTTTGAATTTACCTTTGGGGGAGGGCGGGATATTTTCCAGTGTATAGTGGTGGTTTTTTGTTTGTTTTTTGTTTTATAATGGTAGTACATGGTGTCCCTGACATATTTATAAGATCTTGACTAAATGCACACAAGCAATAGATGCAGTTGTTTTCCATGTCCACCAAGGGTAGGACTAGAACTAATTTGCAGCAAGGGAGATTTCCAGTAGATGTTAGGACCGCTTTCCTAACTATAAGGATAATTTCGCAATGGAGCAGGCTGTCATTGGTGGCTTTTAAGAATAAGTTAGCCCATCACAGACAAAATGTTTGTCTAGGTATATTTAATTCTGCCTCAGTGCGGAGGGGATGGAGTAGATTACCTCTAGAGGTTTCTTCCAGCCTTACATTTCTATGATCTCTGGTTATGAACAAACTTGGTAAAATAAATTAATACATAAGGTGCTGTCTGACACCTACATCTGTAGAGAGTTGAACCAGTATAATTTCACAGGGCATGATTTGGGGGCACATACCTTTGTTCAATGCTGGGCCCCAATCCTCAGAAGATGGGATGAACTAAAATAGAGGGTCTTCAGTTTTGTAGATCCTCCATCCTGATGTGGGAGCAAATTATTAGTGTACTTTATTCCCATGTTTATGTTTATAACTTTGTTGTCAGATAACTTTATATTGGGGAATATATTTTTTTTTCCTTCCATGTGAACTGAAAATAGTTAAGAGTTTTAACTATTCCTTATGAGAAACAACTTTTTAACAACCTTCCTTGGTAACTGCAAAAGTTTCAAAGAGTAATGAGTAAGCAATTACACATGATCTGGCACACTGTTCTGCCAGCATAGCTAGATTTCCTGCATGGAAAGGAAAGGCTGAAATGGTTGGCTGACAAAGGGGGAGAAATGTAGCTAATTAGCTAGAGTCTGTGGAATCTTCATTAGTTAATCTACTTCTATCAAAGCCATTTCATAAACCCTAATCCTTCAAAGTAGATTTGAAAAAAATCACTTTAGAAACTGCTTAAGTAACTTTTTTTTTTTTTAATTTTTATTTTTTAGACTAAACTTTTTACTTGTTTTTGTTCTTAGGTGTCTAATTGTTCAAGAACAGGCACTCCTTTGAAAGTTCTCAAAGCAAAGAGAGACACTGATCTGACTTCTGAGAGTGAGTGTGAAAGTGGAAAAGAGAACAACAGAAAGGTGGCTAAAAGAAGCAAGATCCCTAATTATTGTAAATCTACTTTGTCTACTAAGCACCATGCTAATCATCTGAAAGGCAAAATAACTGACAGGTACTTTCAGATCGGACATAAAAATATCCAAAAGGTTTTAAAAGGTTGAGTACTTCCTGAATTAATTTAGCTCTAACTTGAAATTTTGTATTTGAGATGATAAAGGTGCTTGATGCCTGTAGTGATGATTTTTATAGCATTAATGAAGTTCCTAGTTTTTAGAAATTTCATTCATGTTCTCTTCATTGGTTAGTGCAATGTTTCCTAAACTTCTGAAAGCTTTTCCTCTTCAGGAAAATATAATCAATTAACCAGCTGTTGTGTTTTTCCTGTAACCCCGTCAGGGTTGGGTTTTTTTTGTTTGTTTGTTTTTTAACTCCATATTCTGCCTCTTCTTTTTTTCCCTAATATTAGTCTTTCATGCCCTCCACTTTGAGAAATGATGGGGTAGATCGGTGCAGATTTTAATTTTACTTTTTTTTTTTTCCTTGCATGCTTTGCATAGTGAATGGTTAATTAACAAAGTTGACACCTGAAATATCCTCACTGGCGTCTGAGTTCAGTTCACACCACATATTGCTTTAGGCTCCATGAAAACTCAAGCAGACATTGCTGCACTGATGTACTTGTCATGTTTTTGAAGGTTCTCTCCATAACCATGACAACTAAAGACTTTTTTAATGAAAGCTCAGACTCTGATGAAACGAACGTAGTCTGTCCATACATCCCTGGGTAGTCCTTTGTGCTTCCCACAGTATTGGACATGACCCTCTGTGGGAAGTATTGAATTAGTAGATGGCTGTGATGACAGATTGTATTGAACTATGTTTTTCCTTCAATACATGCAGTACTTCCCTTTAAAAGTAAAACCCTGTGGACAGAGTGATACTTAATTGCTATAACAAATGTGCTGATGAACCAAAATACTATAACTTCTAAAATGACCCCGCATAAAGGCAAAGAATCTTCTTTTCAGTGCTGCCTTTGATCATTGGAACTTTCAGTTATGCTTGTAAGAAAATGTCAGTGTAGGTCAGACATCAGACTTTAGAACCTACTTGATTTTTACAGGAGGGCAATTTCTAAGTATGCTAGGACATTCTCAAGATACTTGAAAATCACAAAGTGAAAATATGATACATTTAATAAATGGATACAGAACACTTGGAAGGTTCAAGAGCAGTGGTGCTCAGCCTATGGGCTGCTTGCAGCCCAGTCAGCACATAGCTGCGGCCCATGTGACCACCTCAGGGTCATACAGGTAATATATATATCTTGTGGTTGCAGCTCACATAACACATCGAGAGCTGCATATGTGGCCCACCATGGTAAATAGGTTGAGAACCACTGTTCAAGAGCATAAATATTCATTTACCCAAATACTGTAACGGTGTGATAGGTCTTACATGTGTATAGTGTATTTCATCGAAGGATCCCAAAGCATTTTACAAACTAGGTCCTGATCCTGCAACTGTGTCCTCAGAGCCTCATTGAAATGACTGGGCCTCCATGTAGATGGAATTGTAGATTCAACACCGGTATTGTTTCACCGACGACTTAAGTGCTGTCACATCTGGGGTAAAATACAACATTTCACAAAACCATTTTAGCAAAGGAAACAAGAATATTTTATCCAGTTGAAACTAGGAGCTGCAGATGGTCATAATTAGTCAAAATGTTCTGCTTACTGGGGCTGCTGTTAAAGATCCTATGGCATACTAACTTCCTAGAAAGTAGGCTTGTAGAAAAAGAACGAAACATTGCGGGTGTTCTTAGTTTAGCTTTTTTCTAGTGCTTAAAACCAAGTAATGTACATATATTTAGAAAGGTTAAACGGAGTGACCCATATAACTTTAGGTTTGTTAGTCTGATGCTGATCCTAAACAAAATCATAGAAAGATTGGTATAGGTTGCAGTCAATTTTAAAAAAAGCAAAACATTGTGATTAATGTTAGTTGATATGGCTTTATGGAGAATAGGTCTTGTCTAACTTGACAGCATTTTTGATGAGTTTACAAGTTTGATAAAGGTAACTGCTGACAAACTATGTGAAAGATTTAACTTTGTATTGTGCAACATTCTGATTTGGGGAGGAATTAATACTATACAAAAATCAAACTGGCCTAATTGAAAGCTCAAAAAGAAACTAAGGCAATGTCTTCACTATGGAGCTAAATCAGCACTGCTGCAATTGATGCAGTGGCATCAATTTAGCAGGTCTGGTGAAGACCCATTAAGTCGACGGGAGAACACTCTCCCATCAATTTCTGTACTCCACCTCCCCTAAAAGACTAAGGTCAGTCGGCAGGAGCACGTCTCCAGCCAACACAGCACGGTATGGCCTAAGAGGGGGAGGAAGCACGAAGTTTCTTGGCCCAGTGTTGTTTATTATCTTTTTCAATTATATAAAGAAAATTTAAAATCACTGTTGGTTAAATTTGTAGATGATACAAAAATTGGTGCTTATCATTTACTACTCACTAATTAGTTATACAGAGCTACCTATCGCCTGGTAAGCTGGTTCATTTGGACAACATGGTTTAACTTAGCCAATTGTAAGGTCATGCATTTAGAAACAAAGAATGTAGGTCAAACTTTTGGGACTTTATTCTGGAAAGCGGAGACTTTGCTAAGGACTGCAAGTTCAGGACAGTTAACCATTTTCTGTAATAACTCCACTTACAGTAAAAGGTTAAATAGCACTAGTTTATGACTTCACATGGAAATAGTTGGCTGTTAGTATTTGTTTCTCTTGTGTTTACCCCTTTCTATGATTCATACATATATATTTTTTTAAAACAGTATTCTTTTCTTATGTTAAGGTATTTGTAACCCACATCTTGGAAATCAAATTGGTTATTGATTCATCTGTGGCTTGTGAATAATATAATTTCCATAGTTAGTAATTCTTTGGATTTCACTAAGGATGAGTAAATTTTGATTTTTTTGGAGCCCAAGAATAGATTATTTCAAAACTGTTTCCAGAATCTTGACTAATCAAAAGGTCACAGAAAACCTAATCAGTATTCTGCAATAACTCAATTGCTGACATTTTATCTATGTACCAAGCATCCAGGTAGACTGCTTATATACCTTTAATATATGTGTACTTACATTTATTTATACTTTGTGGTCCTTAGTTTTTCTTTATCATCACATATTTAAATCCTATGTTCTTGCTTTTTCTCTCCTGCCCAAGGAAGGGGATGTGTGTGTTTGTTTGTTTTTAAACAAACCAAAGAAACCCACACTGCTGCTGTGTCAAAACCTTTCCTTGGGTTACTGTACAAACTAAAAATGTGGATTTCCCCCTCTCCCCCCCGCCCCAACTTGACCTCCTCCTTATTTTTGTGAACGAAGAAACAAATGATTAGACTCATTCATGTGATTCTTTTATGTAGGCCACCATTCACTTTTTCTGTCTCTGTCCTTGCCAAATACTTGTTTCTCTTCCTTGCCTATTGAGCATCCCCATTTAGGACCAGGACCACTGTGAATCCCCAAAGATACTTGTATCCACTACTTGAACTGGAATTGACCCAAACATCCTCCTCTACACCTTTATGGAATGGAAGGCTACTGTGCTGCTGCAGTGGTCCTTGCCCAGTTGTTAGATCTTCAACCATGAGTGAATACTCCTTCCGCTTTTAGTGGCTGTACTGAAGCACCTGTCTGAGAGTATGTCCACACGTCAAGCTCGGGGGTGTAATTCCCAGCCTGAGGAGACTCGCTCATGCTAGCTCTGATCGAGCTAGCACATTAAAAGTAGAATGTAGTAGGAGCAGCGGGAGGGGCCAGCTGCCCTGAGTATGTGCCTGTCATCTTGGATAATAACTACCTTTCATGTCTGATGATCACTATACTTGATGGTTGTACTTGCCAGCTTTTTAATTATGTCTTAGTGTCATTTTCATGCTAACTGCGAGATATAAAAAGTGAAATTTAGAATGTAGTTAATACCAATGGTCTGACCTTAAAATCAAACCCCTGAAATTCTCTTACTACGTTTAGATTGACAGCGTTTCTGTAGACCACCATTAAATGGCTTTCAAAATAACATATCCATGAGTACTGCATATTTTTACAGTTAACCTTCTAATTATAATTGTCATTTCCCATTCTGTTTAGAACTTGTTCCCCTAAATTTAGATGTGCAGTTCAGTATAGTTGACTCTTCCAGCTTCTAATATCAGCAGATGTTGTTTTCTGATATAGGAGCTTCTGACACTTGATGTCATTAGTGTGTAAAGAGACATTTAACTTTGTACATTAACTTTTCTACCACTTCAGGGGAGAGGAGCAGAATTCCTTAAAGCTGAAGTGTCTGCATTCTCAAATGAAAGAGAACTCTTCTTGTGTAAATTCAGCTTCAGAAACGCCAGACTTGGAAGTGGTGGGAAAATCAGCCAAGAAATTGATGGGAAGACCAAAGAGTCAAATAAGAAAAACAGAAGACGTGAATTCAAGTACTGCAGAGGAATCCACTTACAGGGTATGTTTTTACTTGCAATAAAGTAAATAGAAAAATGTAATTTTCACCTGCAGTAGAGCAAGTGTGAATACAAATGTTGCCCAAGGAAAATTCTAAAATGAGTTATGAGTAGGATCATTTTGCTAAACTGTTTTGTAAAAGTAGTGAAGTTTTTTAATAATAATAAAAATTAAAACAAACCTTTTTAACAACATATTACTACGCATTTTGTGTTGTAATAAATTGTTAATGGTCACCTCTGCCAGAAAAGACTTCTTCTGCAAATTTATGCTCTGCCAGGATAAATCCTTCTACTAATAAGTAGAAGACAATAAAAAGTAAAGCCATAATGATATAACCCTCCTCTACAAGTCAGCTGGCTGGGCCGGTGATTCTGTTAAGCTTTCCTACCTCAAGCAGATGAATGCAACTCCTCTGGCTGGCTGGACTAGATGTCTTACTGTGTTCTGTTTACTCAATATTCTTTTGCTTACTCTGGTCTTCCATCCGCTTCCTGAAAGTACAAACAATTTTTATAAGCACTATTAACATAATTAAGCAGAAGAGCCAATCATTTTGTTAAACTTGAAGGTTTCAGAATGTGGGTTTTTAATATATTTTTGTTCAGGCATTAGTTCAAGAACTGGATCAGGAGAAAGAGAAGAGGTGGAAAGCTGAACAAGCTGAAAAGAAACTGAGAGACTATATCAAAGAACTGCAGAAACAGTCAAAAGAAGAAAAGGATATTCAGAGTATGGCTGTGTACACTACAGACAGGTAAAGGAAAAAGATGTTTAATCCAAGGCACACTGCTTATGTGGCTTAGAGAAATGAGGAAAGAGTTAAGCAGTAAACTTTCAAAATAATATATATAGAGAATAATACCAGGACTTCAGTTGATTTGGTTTACAGTGAAATCCCCTCTTTGAAAGTGTGTTCCTTGGTCTTTTCTGTCCTCCAAATGGACAAAGTGGCTCTCGAATGGGTTATATACATTCAGTTCTCTTTCCTCCCTGTGCCAGTCCTGAATGAAAGAAAACACCCAGCCATTTCAAAGTAAACAGTTTTTAACATCTAGACTAGCATAGGTCATCTCATCCAAAAAGCCTCAGGTGCATGTTGGTCCCTTCCGGGAGCAGTGTGGGGCCGGGGTAGGCAGGGAGACTGTCTTTAGCCTCGCTGCGCCTGCCACCGACCGGGAGCCACCAGAGGTAAGTACCCCCTCCAGGAGCCAGCACCCCATACCCCCTCCTGCACCTCAACACTCTGTCCCAGCTCGGAGCTCCCTCCTGCACCCAAACTCCCTCCTAGAGCTTGCACCCCTTACCCCCTCCTGCACCCCAACCCCCTGCCCCACCTGGTGAAAGTTAGTGAGGGTGGAGGGGAGCAAGCGACAGAGGCGGGGGGGGGGTAAATGGGAGTGAGCGGGGCTTTGGGGAAGGGGCGGGGTAGATCCTGGGTTGCCCTTAGTTGCAAAAAGTGATCTTGGGTGTAAAAAGGTTGGAGACCACTGTTTTAGTAAATATAATTAAGAGGGGAATGTACTTGTTATTGCACTAATGTTTAGGTTAAAGGAACTGATTTTGAGAGAGAGAAATACAAAAACAGGACTGCAAGCTGATATCCAGCAATTGAAGGATGAAACTGAAAGACTTACCAATGAGTTAAATCAAGCAAGAAATAAAGAGGAAGATCAACAAAAGGCTCTACAAACTTTAGAAGAAACATTATCCAAGATGGAGACACAAAGAGTGCAGCAACAAGCAACAGGGGTATATATTTAGCATTGGTTGCCTATAATAATGGGATGGCATCTAATAAGCAGATAGAAATACTAAAGAGCCCTTAAAAAAAAGTCACAAGCCTCAATTTCTGTGTTTTAATTTTAGTCTTTACTGTGAAAATAAATCTTTGATTAAATATGCAATTTTAATTACTGTTCTTTCAAATTTAAAGAATGGGCAGGCAATAAAGTATTAAACTTGTATTATAAGATACATGGGTAAGGGTCAATAACTTCTTGACTCAATGGTGGGGTTTTTTTGTTGTTGTTGTTTTTTCCCCCCAACAGTATATATTAATGAAAAGAGGCTTGTAAATAACCTAAAAATATGAATTCTTTAAATTGATAAAACAGGCCTTAACAGTCATACTGCAGAACTTAGACACAGGATAACTGCAAAAATTATTTATTTCACAGAAAAAATGAATTGTATGCCTGTAAGTTTATGCAGAACAAAATAACAAGCAATAGTGTATATAGATGCTTTTTGATTATTAAAGTGGAAAAGCATGGTGATTCTATGACCAAAAGAGGCATTGGATCTTTTTGGCTTTTATATGGCACAAAGAGCAGATCCTAGACTTGTATTGTTCATCAAATTATTTTACAAGTAGTCTAGGATTACTGAGAGTCTGGAATTGACCTCCAAATCCAAAGCATGTATCCTGCCTTTCACTTAGGAAGGGAAAGAACTAAATCCAGTACTACTCTTCCATCTGTACAGGTTTGGGGGGTGGTTCTTGTTTTAGAAAGTTAATTATTTAGTGGTGCATAAAGCCCCTGATTTCTTTAGTGGTGGGAAGATCCTGGAATAAATCCTTACCATCTGATTACCTACAAAAAGAACAGTTTATTAGATGAATACCTAGCTACTGTTTGGTTCTTTAGAGTTTTATAGACCTGCATTGTTGAATAATTCTAGATAATGGACAGGTTTACTTTGAAACTAAATTTTCTTAACAGTTCAGCTGTATTATTACTTTGCCTTGTCTTTCAGTTCAAATAATAGATATTTTCTAGCATATTTATAGAGTTCTTTTCCTCAATGCCGTGTTCATGCAGGAAATTATGTGCCATTGAAAATGCAGGGCTTTTATATATAGACACAGGGCATCTGGTATTGAGATTACCTTCCCCAAAACTGTACCATCTCAAATTGCTTAATTGCAATATCACAAATGTCCTTTGACCTTCTGATTGATGATATGATCCAATATCAATTGGGAAGATGGTGAAATAACACCAGAGAAAACTGCTCTCTAGTTTGCTTTTCTGAGAGCAGGAAACTAAACGGCTTGTTTTTGTTTCCCTTTCATCTCTACCCTTTAAATCAATAATGCTTTAATTATTATTCCTTTAAAATTATAGTCAGAAAAAGTGCTTTGTTAATCAACTATTAACAGTTTTGGCACCCCAAGAAAGCAAAACCTCTGAGATTAGAGTTGAATAAAGTATGAAAGCTGAAGAGAGATCTGCCACAGTGCCCTGCTCTGTAGAGAGGGGAGGGTTGAGCTGCTGCTGTTGCTGAGTAGTGTCTGTGGTGACCTGGAGAGAGAGTTGGGTTTTTTTAAGGGGGGGGGGGTATAGAAGTCCACACTATTGTATATATTGGAAGAAGCACCACCTTAGATGAGTGATAAATAGTGAGATCCTCCATCAAAACCACCTGTGCAGTCTCTTCCATATCCTGACCTGAAACTTCAGCGTGAGAATTCTAGGTAGATACTGGTTTAGAGTGAATTACTTCCGCAAAATCAAGGTGGGGTTTGTTTTACTTTTTACTGTTTTACTATATTCTGATTTCTCTCTCATCAAAAGGTACAGAGGGGATATTTTGGTGTATGAAAAAAGCTATCTTCAACTAGTAAAAAGGAATTCACAAAAGCTTATGATGTCAAATGAAAGAAGGTTGCCATCTTGGGCTAGATTCACAAAGGAGTTTAGGCATGGCAACACTCAGCACAGGGGCTGGAACAATTTTATTGTGGGGGTGCTGAAAGCCACTGAACAAAACTGTAAGCCCTGTATATGATGGAAACTGCATCTTCGGTTGCTATTATTACTTCAAACCAAGGGGTGATACTGCAGCCCCCAGCACCCTTAGTTTTATGTGTAGCAAAGCTGAGCCAGGAGCACTAACTTCTTGGTGCCTAGAAAATCACTAAAAAGCGACAGAGTCCTGTGACACCTTATAGACTAACAGACGTATTGGAGCATAAGCTTTTGTGGGTGAATACCCACTTGGTCGGATGCATGTACTGGGATTCTAACCATAGAATCTGGAATCACTGGGATTCCCAAAGCCTGAGTTAAGTTCTCAGGCTCCCCATACAACGAATGCAGAAAGGGATTCACAAAAGCCAGCCAGTTTAGGTGGCTCCCTGCCTAAACTATCCAATAGGAAACGCTATGGGGGCAGATGGTCCTAAGACCTGCCCCCTCACCAAAAGAAGTCCCTAAATCCAGGCTGCAGGGAAGCACCTCTCTCTGCTTCGGATTTTCAGCTGCAAACCTTCACTTAAGAGTTAGGCACCTATTTTGTCTTTGTGGGTGGGAGCTCGTAACTTCTAGCCTAGTGGATCCTGGGTCTCCTAAGTCCTGAGTGAGTGGTCCAACCATCAGAGTACAGTTATTCTCATGCTTGTTCTCTGGCCTAATGACTCTTGACTTACTCATCCACAGTAGAATATAGTTGCTTTTGGGTGACAATAACTTTAACTCAAAATCAGTAAGCTACAGACATTACTGGTCCACAGTATAGACTGCACCAAGTATTCTAAAGATTAAGTGGCATTGCTTCTCCAAAGTTCTGTCTGAAATTGTGACTTTATAATTGAAGTAAGTCTTTCAAGCTACTTTTTTTGTTTTAAATCCTTCTGAATCCTTGCTCTGTAAATTGGTAAATAAATATCCCTTGGCTTTTATAAAGTGCCAAAAATCCTTTTTGAAGATTTTCAGTTAACACTCTTACATTTGATTTGGGGTACACTACATTGTTGCAAATTTGGCTCTATATTCAATATTTCATGGAAAAGTCTTGCTCTGTATTAGACTGGTGGGGTGACACAAACCATGGCCTTTTATGACAATACCTTAAAGGTCACTGTGTTTGCCACAGAAATAATAGCCCTGATAAACACAGTGCTTTAATAAGACTGTTATATTTTTTTTTATCCTAATTGAAAGCTTTAGGAAGAAGCAGCAATTTTAAGACTTGTTCCTCTGATTTTATACAGATGAAGCGGATTCAAGAGGCAGAACTTAAAGCTTCAGCGACTGAGAGAGAAGTACAGTTACTTCGAGTATCTCTTCGACAACAGAAAGAGAAGGTGCATCAACTCCATGAGCTTCTCATGTTAAAAGAGCAAGAGCACAGGTTTGTTTCTTTACCACAATCCAGAGAGGGTATGTTAATACTGCAGAATCTAGAAAAGCTTTGCTTGTTTGAGGATGTTCTGCTATGGTTGGAATCTAAGCCAATTTATTTGAAAATATATATTTTGAGAATTCCTATCCTGTTAGTCTGCCCTTTTGTTAAAATGATGGATTTAGAGGTTTTGGGGAAGATAGCAGAGGGGGTTACTTCCATTCTCATCAGCTCCATAATAGGTGCTGAGAAGGAAATATCAGGCAGCAACTTTCCCTCATCTGAGACTTCCATGCAGATAAACTTATTCCTCAAATCTTTCTTTGATTTGTTTGTTTCATCAATGACTTACATTGTTCAAAACTGTCAAAGACTTGAATGAAAGATACCTTATATTCTTTCCTGGATAAAAGCATATCAAAACTTAATGCAAAAAAATTTTGTATAAAAACAATTTATCTTTCATACTGTAAAACATTGAAAGTTAGACAAGTCCTGCAGCATCTCTTCAAGATGAATCCTAGCAGATTAGTCCTTTTGTCAGTGATCACAGTTGTGCTGACCTTTGGGGAAAACAGGTTTTAATACATGTTGTTGGTTGGTGGTTGTTGTGCAGTTTGGATAGCTCAGCACAGCAAACAAGACAAAGTAGTTCTGATTTTTATTCTGGTCTTGATTTGTATTTGTTTAAACTTTTGCTGAATAGCATAGTCTTATAAAATGGCTTTCAGAGGGATAGTCATAAAATCTTATTCCAGCATACTTCAGTAAAATACAAACAATATAGTACAGGACTCTCATTGGAAATGAGTTTAATGTTGTCATATACTATCAAAGTTTCAATTTGTTCTATCCTGGCAGAGTTTCTTAAAATAAGAAATGAACATTTTCTTAGCCTTAGAACATTCAAGTAGTGGACTAATATTCCTAATTTTTGTCTTCCTAAAAATGTTTTATTTACATCCTGTTTGCATACTTTACGCACACTTTTCTTCTCCCTTCTATTGCTATTTTTTAACAGAATTATGGGTTATATGTATTAGAGGACAAATTCAGAGGTTCTGTACGTTTTCTGCAGTAACTCCTTACTTAACGTCGTCCCAGTTAATGTTGTTTCGTTGTTACATCGCTGATCTATTAGAGAATTCACTCATTTAGAGTTGCGCAATGTTTGCTTATAATGTTTGGCTGTGGGGCTTGGAACCAGGGGTGGGCCAGCAGCTGCTCTATCAGCTCCCCTCCACTACCACTCAGCACCTCCCGCCCGCCAGCAGCCCCACAAGTGAGCAACTCCCCCATCCCTTCCTGCACTTCCCACCCACAGCAATCAGCTGTTTCATGGTGTTCGGGAGGGAAGGGGGAGGAGCGAGGATGTGGCACGCAGCCTCCTCCCTCCCCTCCAGAGCCTCCTGAATGCCCTGAAACAGCTGATTTCTGCAGGCAGGAGGAGGGGGGGAGGCTGTGCACCACATCCTCGCTCCTCTCCCCTACCCTCCCAGAGCCTCCTGAATGCCATGAAACAGCTGTTCCGTGGCATTCAGGAGGTTAGGGGGAGGGGAGAGGAGCAAGGACGTGGTGCACTCGAGGGGTGGGGTGGAGCAGAGGCGGGAAGAGGTGGGGCCTTGGGGGAAGGGGTGGAGTGGGGGTGGGCCTGGAGCAGAGCCAGGGGTTGAACACCCCCATGGCACTTTGGAAAGTGGAGCAGCCGATCTACCCTCTTTCACCCTCTGACTCCACCACCTCAACCAAGCTTCACAATCATCATTGCTGAGTACAGTATTAAATTTTGTTTTAAATTGTTAAAAACTTATACAGTATATGTATATAATGTCTTTTGTCTGGTGAAAAAAATTTCCCTGGAACCTAACCTCCCCTATTTACATGAATTCTTATGGGAAATTGGATTCACTTAACATCGTTTCACTTAAAGTTGCATTTTTCAAGAACATTACTATGACGTTAAGTGAGGAGTTACTATACTTGTGTAAGTTGCAGATGAGGGTGTGGGTTTGTAGTGGAAAAAGCAACCCACAGAACTGTATAAATATGAGAGGTCTGAATTTCTGAGGATATTTTGACCATTTATTTATTTGCCAGTAACCAAAAGTCTCTTCTGAAATTTTTTGCAAAGTTATTCTCTCCAAATTTTTGGACCCTTTTTTTGCATAAAACTGTAGAACCCACAAATTTCTAAATTCAGGTATGTAAATATCCCCCTCATTCGAACTACAATAGATTTTCTTAAATCTATTAGTCTTAATAGATTTCCACTCAACTAAAAATAAAAACACCAAAACAGGTCTGTTGGTTTTCAGCAGTGTCAACATAATGTTCTTTGAAGGTGAGGGGGAGAGAGAATATACAACAATTTATTTCTTGCCACTGCACTGTAGTGCAAAACCTTAACATTGGCCCCAGCAACCTCAAGAAGCACATCTGGTAGGTATCCTTGCGCTGGTGAAATCTGTGATGTGATGTTTTCCCACAAAAAAAGACAAGGTCAGAGTTAAGATTTTTGCACATTAATGTGATGGTGAGGAGTCTGGGGTATGTTTTTGTGTTACTATAGGAGAAGTGTGACTTATTTATAGTTGGATGAATGTCTGTTAGTGAATATGTAATGTGAGAATGGAGGTATGTTAACTGATGCTTGCTGCTAAGGGTTCTGATGGGTGTTTCCCTTTAGCAAGCATAACTGGGTTTTCACTAAATAGTTTTGTATTTTCCTTCTCTGTTGGAATTATACAGTTAATCCATGTTTTATACTTCAGTATATCTACCCACTGTTCTTCTTGACCGTCACAAAGGTATCTCTTGAAGAGCAATGATGTAAATACATGGTTCCTATCTTGCTCTTATTACATTAGGTTTATTTAAAAAAAATTAAAAACAGTGATATAGTATTGAAAGATACTGCAATTCTGAATTTAATGTACATGATTGGTAACTCCAGGAGAGAACTTGAATCCCGAGTTGCTTTGAATGGATCTGAATTCCAAGATGCCTTGTCAAAAGAAATCGCTAAAGAACAACAGCGGCATGAAGAACGCATTAAAGAATTTCAGGAGAAAATTAGTATGTTAAACCAGCAGTATATGCAGTTGGAAAATGAATTTCGTATTGCTTTAACTATTGAAGCCAAAAGGTTTAAAGAGGTAAGATTAAGACAGTATCTTGAAAAATGTGTGGAGTCAAGGAGGTTGTCCAATTCTGTGCTTTAAAAAAAAAAACACACACACTTTTTTTTTTTCTCCTTCATTGTTAATCAAAAATGACAATTGTAGTGTTAAAATAACAGTTCACTTTAAATTAATTTTTTTTTGAGATCCAGTTTAATCTTTTGAGATACTATTTGAAACGTTTTTCATTTGGTTTGACCGAGTAGGTTCTATGCATTCATAACTTAACAAATAACTTCAGGTGATATGAAATACCTTTGGAATGAATGGAATTAATCTCACTTCCATTATTTCAAATTACCATATTGTATTTTCATGCAGATGCACACACTTGGAAAGCTAATCTTTTTATTAACCTGTCTTTATCATACAGGTTAAGGATGGTTTTGAAAATGTTACTGCTGAGTTAGCAGAACATAAGTGTTCCCTTTTTCAATCTCAGCAAAAGGAAAAGCAGTCAGCAGCTCTGATTCAAGAGCTGACATCCATGGTGAAAGAACAGAAAGCAAGGATTACAGAGGTAGTAAAGTCAAAACAAGAAACAACAGCAAATCTAAAGGTATATGTTTTGAAGCCTTTTTTTAATTATACAGTACTTTAGACAAGAAGTTTTAGCATTAACAATACTCAGTATATTTCATCTTAAAGTTAACATTGGCTAAAAATGGGATAAGGAAATACACCATGTTAATATTCACAGTAATCTCAATTTTCGTGTCTTACCACTCTCGCATTCTGACTTCTCAGATGCACAATATAGCCAAATACACACGCATACAGTTCCTCACGATTGCACTCCTATTTTGTGGTGATAGCAAGTTGTACATAATAGTAAGTACTTGAAACTGAGATTCAGAGAATATTTAATACTGTTAACTTTTGTAAACTCAGAAATGACAATATTTTAGCTGCAGAAGAGTTATTTTCAAATGATTGTACATGAATTAATTAAGTTACAGTACTTAGCAAGTACTGTACAAAGTATTGTTACTGGGATTTATATAATTAGCATTATTACAGTAATTTAGATAATGATATAATAGTGACTACCTATCATGTACATTAGTTATGTAGCACACTTTCTGAAGATATTATCTACAATATTATAATACACCTCTACCCCAATATAACATGTATTCGGATATAACGCGGTAAAGCAGTGCTCGGGGGCGGGGGAGGGGCTGTGCACTCCAGCAGATCAAAACAACTTCGATATAACGCGGTTTCGCCTATAACGTGGTAAGATTTTTTTGGCTCCCGAGGACAGCGTTATATTGGGGTAGAGGTATTCACAAATGGCCATTAAAATATTAGGAACATCACATTTAAAAAAATTTCTAGCTGTTAAATATAAGTTCTTTTTCCAAGAGGCCAGGGGAAAGGTCTGTGTAGCATTTAGAGATTGCAAGTTACTTTTTTAATGTCAGGTCAGCTTTCAAAAAGAAAATACATTAAACGTTCTGCTCTTGAGAATTTATTATGCCAAATGGAATCTCTGTCAGAGAATAACTGTTGGAAATGTTGATTTATTCCTTGAAACTATTTTTAAAAGTAAAAAATATCCTTTTTTAAAAAAGCCTATTTATAAGGTATGGAAAAAATGAATTTTGCATGTTTCAGGTTAGATCTGTCTTGTGGGGTGGAAGCCCACCCCAGTACAGCCTCCATTTGTTTCCTTTGGATTAACTTCTGCTGTGCAACCTAAATCCTCCATTTCCTCTTTTCAGACTTTTTTGCACTTCTTTTAATTACAAAGTTATTTCCTCTCAAATTTATTCATATATATTTTCAAGCAAACTTTATTAGACTCATAGACTTTAAGGTCAGAAGGGACCATTATGATCATCTAGTCTGACCTCCTGCACAACGCAGGCCACAGAATCTCACCCACCCATTCCTGTAACAAACCCCTAACCTATGCCTAGGTTTATCCGTGAATAAAATGCATAAACTGTGTTGACTGATGAAACAAATGCCTGTGCTTTGTTACAGGTAAAAGATGCCAGTTTTTATCAAAGAAAACCTTGTGTGTAAGCAGAATATCTGCTTAAATAGTTAGTTAGTATTAACTGTCATAGTTAAATTGGTGTTAATTATATTGAATTCTTGAATATTTGTCTTACAAAATCTTACTGTTTCCCCCCCCCTCCTCCCCCCCATTCATTCATGTATACAGAGTCGAATCAGAGCACTTGAAACTTTGGTTGAGGAGGACAAACAAAAGACTATTCAAATTGAACTCCTGAAACAGGAAAAATCAAAACTTATTTCTCAGCTGACAGCCCAAGAATCTGTAATTGATGGATTAAAAGTGGAAAGAAAAATATGGGGACAAGAGTTGGCACAACAGGGTAAAAATACAACAGTTTTGTGGTAGAATATGATAGATAGCATTAATTAAATAGATATTTCACTTGCATTTCTTCCCTGGCCAGTTATATTGCCACAATGCACTGTAGCACCACCTGAGACAAATAACCTTACTTTCTTTTATTTGACACAGAAAGGACTATTTTTCATAGGAGTGGCATTATTAAAAATTATTAGCCTCCACTACTTGCTATACATTTAAGTAGTTGGGAAAAGTAGTGTTCTGGTACATGACCCTCTTCATAGCACGTACATTTTTTTTTAATTTATTTTATTTATCAATTAATTGAGAGTCATGTCAATGAGCAGTTATCCAGTGGATGGAAACTCACATTAAAGCTAAAATATTTCTGTCCAACCCCCACTTAAAAAGTATTGTCATCCTGTCATAAAGGAATAAATATTTACTATATTTTTGTTAAGAGGGATAGGTTGAAGATCTACAAAAATGAGTAATAAAATCCCAAGGAGAGAAATCTTGTAGAAAAACCATACACAGTTTTAACTTTTTGAGCTCATAATTTTCACTAAACACAATGTTGCTTATTCTGTTAATTAAGTGAAAAATAGGCTTATTATTTCAGGATACCATAGTTAAATGTTAAAATTAATCAGAATGTGAACGAGCTGAAGATAAGGAATAAAAAAAAAGCTGTTACTGATTATAATTTTGTGTGGTATTCTGTTAACTCAGTGAATTGACTTATTTTTTTAAACTTCATTTGATTATTTATGGGAGGAAAATATTTCTTAGTGTGTGGGCTCAATAAGAGACACTTCAGAACACCTGATCTTGTGATTTTTATTTTGATTTTTACTTATACATAACTGGTAAGGAGGGACACTGCTGTTTACTGTCATCCCCTTTTTATACAGTTTTTCCATACATATTGATATGAATTGCAAAAAAAAGTGTCACATTCTATTCCACTTTGTTTTACCCAGTGGTGGAGATGGTTGCTTCGATGTGGCCATTACTTTGTGCAAGCAACTACTTGGAGTCATAGTGAATAGTGCCTAGAAAAATGGTGTAAAGCTATTCATAAAACAAATAGTAGTATCACAGTATATTCGAAGGTGGTAATCTCAAAGAATGTTCTGTATGTGTACCCTGTTCTCACTCCTTTTTCATTCAGGTGTTTTTATATATTTGGCAAAATGTTATGCTTGCCATATTAAAATTTGAGGCTTTTTAAAATTTATTTATTTGAGTTTTAAACACAAGGCCAGAAGCATTGTTGTAGAACTGGTGAGGTGGACCCTAATTGGTCCTCTAGTACTGTATACATCTCTCCTTGCATTGTCGTTATGTCAAATTATAGAGAACAAATGTGCAATCATCTACTTTCATTGACTCTCATTGCTCATTCAGGGAGGAGGATAGCACATAAAATGCTACATAAAATATTGCAGGGAGATTCAAGTTTTGAGAGAATTCCCTCAGTACTAAATAGCATTACTTACTCTGCATTTCATAGTGGTATTGATACCTGTGTCACTTGTTCACTTTCATCCCCCAAAGTGAAAATAAAATTGCAGGTGTCCTTGAAGAATTTAAATGTTGGAGCAATAAGTGATGTTGTGGCTTTTATCCTCTTTCTTGTTCTTCTGCACTATAACTAGCAGTACAGATTTAGCGCCATCTGGTGGTCTCTTTGAAATTGCTTAGCTTAGATCTGTAAGCATTATTACTGATCATTTTTAATAGAAGTGCCCAAAGGAGGTCTAAACAGCAAGTGTTTAATACCATTAAGTTGCCACTGTTGAACATTTAAAAAAAAAAAATTGTAGTTACAAACTAAGGTTCCAGTCCAGCAGTTTGCTCCATGCACGAGATACAAGCATGTCCACACTTGCATAAAATGTTCACTTTTTTGAAATGTGCTTGGAAAATGCCTTCAAGATCTGCAGTGCTGTAATGTTGTGTTTATCCAGGAGCTTCTCTTGCTCAAGACCGTGGAAAACTAGAAGCAAAAATTGAGGTTCTGACCAATGAAAGTGAGATTCTAAAAAAACAAAAGGAACGCGACAATGATGCACTAAGAATTAAGACCAAAATAGTGGAAGATCAAACAGAAACAATTAGGAAATTAAAAGAAGTAAGTGGTGTGTGAGTGTGTGTGCATGTACGGTATGCTTAAATTAAACAGAGTTCGAGTGAAAATTGTGGCAGTGACTTGAATAAAATTAGGAAAGCAGTGCCATGGCTGTCTGAGAGTGCGCTCCCATTGACTTCATTGGGTGCAGAACCAGGCCATATATGATTGTATTTATGTACAGACTTACTCCCAGATAAAAATCATTATCAGAAATGTAGAAGAAAAATGTAGGACAGGTCTCACTTAATTTGTTTTTTTGCTTCATTAAAATAATCAGTTGAATTTGAAATTTTATATTCAAGTATAAAATATTTTTTCTTTTATTCTGTTCCTTTTGCATTCAGGGAGCAATAGGGTAACATACTTACAGTTAAACTAGCATTATAAATTCCAGTGGGACTCGAACCTTTGCCTCATTTATCATAGCAAAACTCCGTTCTTTCTGGAGGCGTTTTGTCTAAGTAGATTAATATAGACAAATTATCCGCTAGTTATATACAGTATATTTTTAAAAGTAGCAGAGTTTGAACTCTTCAATGTTCTTTTATTACAATTTTTCCATCAGAAATTATTGCTTTTGTTTTTGTTTTGCAACCAGTATATCCTGTAAGTTAACATAATTGCAAGAAAGTTTTATGTTAATAAAAACGAGGACCATACATAGGACTAGAAGGGACCTTGTGGGTGCTTGAGTCTAGTACCCTGCTGTCATAGGCAACTCTGTCACATCCTGCTCATAAACTTATCAGGCTTCATCTTAAAACGAGTTGAGTGGTTTGCCCCCACTACTTGTATTTGAAGTCTGTTCCAGAACTTCACTGCTCTGATGGCTAGAAACTTTCATCTAATTTTCAACCTAAATTTATTTATGGCCAGTTTATACCCATTTATACCAAAACAAATGTTGTGTTTATAGGGTTTACAGGAGAGAGATGAGCAGATGAGAAAACAGCGTGAAGAAAATGTTGAAATCCAAAAGACTTTTCAGGTACAATTGGATGAAAAAACTGCACAGTTAGAAGAGCTAATGGAAAAGTTAGAAAGGCAAAATGAAAGAAAAGAGGAATTAAAACAACTGCTAGAAGAGAAAGAAGCAGAACTGGAAGATATTGGGAAAGCATATAGGTGATGTATACTATTATAAGCATAATGAAACGTTATGGCCCACACTGAAATTTCAAGTGAAATCTTGTGTTCAGATTGGTTGGGAGAAGAGTACGTGGGTAGGCCAGAGCCTCACTTTTGACGGTTAGAACTTGAAAATTGGGAAATGTAAAAGTATCACTTTTTTTCCCCCTCCCCCCCCCAGTTTTAAAAGATGATAGAATCTGTATGCACTCTGAACGTTTGTGTTTTATTTTCAGTGCAATGAATAAGAAGTGGCAAGATAAAGGAGAACTACTAAGCCACCTTGAGACACAAGTTAAACAAATGAAAGAAAACTTTGATATCAAGGAAAAGAAGCTGATCGAAGAGAGAAACAAAAGCCTTCAAACTCAGAAGTAAAAACAAAAATACTAATAATGGTTGTCTTGTTAAACTTGTACATAGTCCACCATGCAAGACAGGTGAAATTTTGGTACACAATATTAGCGTTCATAATGAAGTTGCAAGTACTTTCTATAGGTCCAATCACAAACACTCTTGTACTCACATAAGAAATACGTGTGTGTGTGTGTGTGTGTGTGTGTGTGTGTGTGTGTGTGTGTGTGTGTAAGGACTACTTCTGTGAAGTAGGTATCTGCAGGATCTTCCCCTCAGTTTTTAACTGCACTTTCAATGTATTAGAAGATTTTTAGATTCCCAAATGTTTAGTACTCAGATAAAGTTACTTCCTATTGGAGATCCTAGTTCTATGGCCCCATTGAGATTAAACAAGGGTTAATAAAATTTATATAAAACATAAATTTGTAATCCACAGAGGGGAGGCCCATTTGGCATAAATTTATTGAGAGGGTAAATGTGTATTCCTGTTTGTGTGACTTTGCATTTGTGTTGCTGCGGCACCAAACAAGTGGCTATAATTAATAGTGAGTACTTAAGTTTTCATTTAATGCCTTTGAGGGGAAAAAGAATAAGTAAGACAGTATCTGAATTTCCTTCTCCCTTCTCTCCTTCCTCCCACCCCCAGATTATTACTGAAAAGTTGGAGGGTTTTTTTTATTTATTTGTTTTTTGTTTTGCATTTGGATCCATTGCATATTTTTAATATGACTTTATTTCTCTATCATCAGTGCTTTCAGGGGAAGTGTTAGTTGAAGCAATTAACAGTGGATTAGGAGTTGATAGTAAACAAAGCCTAAGGAAATGAGACTTTTCAAAAAAAAAAAAAAAAAATCATGTAGACATATTCTGAAGATGAAGGTAGTCTCCAGTAAACACATGTACAAATGGCACTGCCTACGACGTCACCAAATAAATACTGAATGACGTATCAATATAACTAGTCTCATAAATCTTGTCTATGCTAGGAAAACTTTTTTTTAAAGACTTCCCACTATTGTTAACGATGCTGTGGCTATCACAACCATTTTTTAAGCACTGTTCTTTTCTCTTTAGGCATAGGTAGTCTAACAGGACTTTGTATAGTTAGGCCACACACGCAACGGCAATAAGCAGAGACATGGCAAGTTATGCTAGACCCAACGATGCAAAAGAATCAATGACTAATGAGATTAGGTAGTCAAAGACATTATTTTGATTTTTCCATGAAACTTCCTTGAGAAAAGGACTGCTCATTGCTACAACTATTCTGTTAGTGTGCCTCACTAAAATATAACTATTGATGAAGTACCTCTTTCTGCTAAGGATTTAGTTTACATATCCCCCACTAAAACTGGTAAAATGTTTTTTTCCTTTGGTGAGGATTTCCTCTGTTTTAAGAGAGGTGGGACATAATGGTCACTGGTCAGCAGGGCAAAGGAATATCTTAATGATCTAAATTTAGTTTCTCCAGAACAAAATGAAATAGTTGTTAGGGCTAAGCATTGGGAGCAGTGCTGGAAGCTTAATGCTACTGAAATGTATCCTAGAAAAAGAGTGTTGTGTGTGAAATTTCATAGGGCTGTGTATTCATAGTGTCTGAATACAGTACAGACCTGTTTACGCGCGGATGTCGGGAGTCAAGCCGTCACACCTGCGTGTTAACGGACCGCGGGTTAAGAGGGCCATGCTGAAATATCTTTATATATAAATGTATGTATAATCTAGGATTACATACGTATTCACAGCATCCCAAATACTGCAGGCCTATCTGCTAATGGCACTTTGCAAAAATATAAATTCAAATGGGTAATCTAATAACATTATTACTACTACACAGGGGTGAAAGTAACTCAGGACACTTACCGGTACGGGGCGGGGGCAGATCTGGCCCCCGGAAGGGGCAGGCCCTCGGGCGGACCGGGCAGGGCTAGGGGTCAACATCCCCCAGCCAGCCCTTCCAGGCCGCCTGGTCCATGCCGCCCGGGGTTCCTGTGGCGATGTAAAGGGCCCGGGGCTCTGGACACTGCTGCTACGGTAGCGGCGTCCGGGCCCTTATAAATCACCGGCCCCGGGGCAGCTGCTCCCTTTGCGTGCTCCTACGCCCGTCGACTGCCAAGGGATGGCAAAAGGGGCAGGGACCTTAAAGCACTGCAGGGTCCTTTGCCGCGGCAGCACTTTACTGCCGACGGGGAAGGGACAGCAACGTTAAAGACATACAACATGTTTCCGCTCTGCACTTCCTGTCGATTTCTATGTTAGTGAGTTAGTGAGCAAATCTGTAGCGCTACTATGGCAAGTTCCTGTACCGCATGTTAACGAGTCTCGTGTGTTAAATAGGTAGCACTGGGAGGCATGGCGCTACCGCATGTTAAGTGGATTCGCATGTAAATAGGTCTGTACTATAGTGTTGCTCTGTGTAGCTGCATATTCTAGTTGTATATTGAAACATCCTCTCAGGACCTCCTGATTCCACATACAAGATTTTCCCTTTTAATTCTCAGAAAATGTGTTATAATAGACCCATTCTCGCCCAACCTGTTTAGAAGAAATGGAGGAAATAATACTTAGACCATTTAAGCGAGAATAATATGTATATCTTTTGCTAGTATAAGTAGATGGTTGAAAGCCTTAGGGGTCGTTAGCACCCTTAACAAGAGCAAGTGTGAATCTTCTAGCTCAGTGGTCACCAACAAGTCGATCGCAATCGACTGGTTAATCCTAGAGGATCTCCCAGTCGATTACAATCTCTGGCGGTGCAGGAACGGTGATCCGCAGCCTCTGGGAGCTGCGGGCTGCCGTGCAACTGTAAGCAAACTGGCAGCCCACCAACGGATTACCCTGAAGGGCTGTGTGCGGCCCATGGGCCGCAGGTTGCCCACCACTGACATACAGTCTTAAAATGTAATGATGATAATAGTTATTTCTGGCTTTCTTAAGGATTAACATTTCATCCTATTGTAGGGTTGCAATGGAAAAACTTCATTCAATGGATGATGCTTTTAGAAGACAGCTTGAGTCAACGCTAGCAGCTCATCAGGCAGAATTACTGCAGCTGGCAAATGAAAAACAAAGACAAATTGAAACAGCAAATGAAAAGGTAATGTATTTTAATACAATATCAGACCTTAAAATATGCATTTTCAGTCCCAACTTTGTTATATGCAGACAGCTGTAGTCTTTTTGGTGTCTATGTTGGCTAATCACTATTAATGAAAGCATTGATGACATTGAACTTTTAATCTTTGCCCAATAATGGATTCACTAAAAGTGCATAGACAGTAGGTAGACTCTGCATGTTTCTTGAACAAAGAATATTCTGTCACTTGCCAGTGCATGAATATCCCTTAATTATTAGAGAGGCAAGAAAAATGGTGATAAAGTGTTTCATGTAACACTGTACCTTTTTTTGGCTTTTATAATTTTTGTAACAGATGTGATACCTTGGAAGCATGCAAACTTCAAAGACTGTTCCATTGAGATGTGCCAATGGATTAGTTGTAAACTTTGTTTTTTACAAATGTTACATGTATCATCATGAGCTAGGGATTGCATTCTGGCGCCATTGTGGAGGGTTACTGAGCTTCCCCCAAGAGCAAAAGTCATTTGGGAGCTGCATGGATTAATTTAAATCTCTGACTTTGATAATGACTTAAATCAGGAAGCAGGAAATCTTGGTGCAAATCATTCATTTTCATCTTGTTTTGCATTTGTACTTTTTAGTTATTTTCCTAAAGATGGGTTGATTCTCCTGGTTGGTAACCATTAAAACATGTTAACTTGCAACTAAATGTAGTCTTTAGCAAAAAGAAGCACCAAATTTCATGTAAACAGGAGGAGGATGATATGCTATATCGATACACATTTAAGCAGTTGTATAGTTTAACTTACATTTATTCAGAGTCTTTATTTTCATTTTTATGTTAAAAATGGTGACTGATGCAGTACATGCTTACTAGATAATTCATTTTTTTTACTTGTGATTTGTGTCAAGACATTTGGAGCCTCTTTTTGGCACCTGCACCAGGTTAAATTCTGGAAGCTAGGGAATGCTTACCAGTCTGCACTCCTTTCCCCCTCCCACAACCCCAACTGCATGCCAGAGACTCCTGGGGGGGGAAATAAGACGGGGCAGGAGCTATCTGATGTCCCTCAGCAAGTGTCTCCTTCCCTCACCACTGTGGCTGTCCCCCTTTCACCACCAGCCCCATCATGTTTCCCCCACCCATTGAGGTATGTAGGTGTCATTTTGGATGGAAATCCAAATTCAATTACAACTGCACAAAAATAGCACTTTATTTTTTTTACGAAATAAAACTACCTTAAAGTGCTGTATACACAAACTTCTTCAGATTTTAAACTTTTTGCGTTTAAAATTAACTGATTTGTTAAGTAAAGGAAGTATTATCTCAAGTTAATGAACTGAACTTATTGTTCCTGGTCACTGTGTTCTTCAAGGTTTTTAGAACTAGTAAATCTCCTAGATTGGAAAAGGGAAAAACGCTTTCGTCCTTTTTTCAACTCCCAATTGGTTTTGTAACTTTGAATGAACTAGTAATTGAACTGAACTAGTTGAATAAACTGAAATGAAGAAACTATTCTCTTTTTACTCAGAAGAGGCTACTTTTGTCAAAAGCTGATTTAGCACCTCAGTGAACTCTGGGTTCAAGTACTTATCCAGTGACTTTGACCAGTGGTTTGGGGTTTTTTTGTTTTTGTTTTTTTGTTTTGTTTTTAAACTGGGCAGTAAACATTCTCTTTGGGGGGGGGGAGGTATTTAATGTATATGATTTTAATAGATTATAATGTGTAAATAGATTTACTAGGTTATACGTTTCTTAACATAGATTTTAATTTCAAATTTAATACTAAATTGGTTTATTTAAAAAAAATCAGCTTTTTTTATTTAAATTAGATTTTTTTTTAAACTTTTTTGTTTTAAATACTGGGACAGGTGAACAACTCCAGACAGGGTTCAAGAGGAATAGGAGACCTAGAAAGAGCTTTTGGTATGAAGGGTCAGGATGAACTGAACCACCTGGTTCATTTGGATCCAAAAACTGACATGAGATTGTAACTAAGAGGGCAGAACCTAGCTGTAAGGGTTTGAAGGACTAGAACCTGCCAGGGTCTCTTTGTGTAAGATGGGTGACACCTGGTAAACTTATCAGGTGTCTGAATTGTTTGTTTGTGTGTGTTGATGTTTTCTGTAATGCTTTTTGTCCTAAAATAAATGAGTTGGGCTTTGTGAAAGCTGGCTGGTCACTGGTAACCATGTCATTGTCTCTGAAAGAGAGTGAACCACAGGGGCTGGACTAAGGTCAGACCTGCTGGGATAATCACAATGAATTGCAGGGGGACTGCAAGCCTAAATCCCCAGTCTGAGGGGAGAGAGACACTAGGTCCCCTCCCATAGAGAGGTGATAGCTGGAGGAGACTACAGAGGGGGATAGAGATGCAGGTAACCATGGAACTGTGACAATTCCCACCAATATTCTTCTGAGCTATGGAAACTCCATGCTTTCTATCAATGCTGTTCTTAATTTTGGAATCCTCCTTTCCCCCAAAGAACTAAATAACTAGCTATAGAATCATTATTGTTTAGCAAAACTTGCTGTGATTACAGATTGTAACAGGGTCACTGCCTCCAGATTTCACCCTAATTGCACAGTGTGGCCATGCAGCATTCCTGCCTCAGTTTCCCCTCAGTGACTTGGCCCTCCAGCTAAGCCATTAATAAAAAGTCCACCCCTTACAGGGTATACAAGTTGAAAAACACACAAAACACAGAATTCACATACCAGTTTGAAACTGGACCCAGCCCCTCCTTTCTGAGGGCCACGTCTCATCCGTGTTTAATAACTTAGACACTCTTTTGCCTTTTTATTTAATGAAAAAATTAAAATGCTGTTATTGTGCAATTATAATTTAATTTGAATGTCACCCTTTCCCATTAGCCCCTTGGGTTGTTCACTTGCTCCATCCCAAGCAGCTCTCCCACACCTTTGTGCCTGGAGTCTCTCTCCTTTCTTTTGCAAGCCAAGCCCAGTCCTTCCTAGCTGGGGTGTTTTCTCCTCTGGTGTCTCAGGGTCTGCTGCAGGAGCCCTCCTCCTCCTCTCTGTAGTCCTCAGCAGTCTTCTCAAGGCTTCTGCTGAAGTCTCTCTCCTTTCCACACTGCCCAGAACTCTCAGGCCTCTGGGATAGGTAAAGGATTGAATCACACAACCCATTTTCCCCACCTGGGCAGATGAGTTGGCTGTGTCACAAGTTGGGCTGAGACTTCATCTCCCTTTAAAGAGACAGTCACTCTATGACTCTAATACTGACACATCTAGTGTCCCTTTTACAAACATTTGATGTGAAAGACTCTTTAGTTTGCTGTTCTCCTAGCAACTTTGTTTATCCTGTCTTGTCTTCCTTTATCACCTGTTTTCACATTGCACAGTTCTTCATGAAAGTTTTTACCTTGTACTACTCCTGTTGCCATATCTGTCATACATTGTATGAAGCAAGTTGTCCTCAAATGTACTCTTTATAAGAATAGCAATATATTGTGTAATTACTCCGGGATTCTCAATCAGTAATACAAAATAAGTAAGATTACTCTTCCTATAATATACTAACATACAGGTTGAATTTTTTATGTATCTTTTTATAATTTCAGGTTTACCAGGTTGAAGAAGAAATGCGTCAGCTTCTGCAAGAAACAGCAAACAGTAAAAAGGCCATGGAAGAGAAAATAAGGCGACTTACAAGTGCATTAAGTGACATTCAGCAAGATCTCTGACGAAACATGTAATGCATTAAATCTGACCACCCTGCTCCTCTTTTTAATAAAAGGAGTTGGTGAAGAAATGTAAAATATATACATAAACAAATATACCGTATCTTTGTTAATATAATTTGTTACACTTGTTGCTGTGATTTTTTTGTTTCCTTTAAAACACTTATTTCCAGAGTAATTTTTATTTGTGTGATTTTTTTTGAGAGTTCAAGAATCAAATATGTATTAAAACTATGTACAGTATTTTCATACAAGTTATCTGATGTATGTGTCTGGTAATATTTGTGTCCAAGCTGCCTAAGAAATAGGTCAAAACAAATCAACAGATGAAAATCACTGTATGAGTTAAGAATTATCCGTAAACGAAGAGAAGGTGGAGGCATGGCAGATGGCGTCAGGAATGAAGTAAGGACACAAAAAGGGTTGGGCATGTCTATTGTGTGCTTGGGTTCTTTCAGTTAAGAAATCATGGAGATTGTCATATTAACAAAAAATAAATTGCACCCATAATCAGGGGAGAGACTTTTTTTTAATAACACATACCGTACATGACCGTTTTGCATATCTGGAATTAACACTGTTTTGAGATAGCATTCAGTGACTTTTCAGAGTTAATACTGTTATCCCAGAGAAAAGAGAGATCTTGTTGACTTCAGCAACTGCTGAATGTGTTCAATAATCTCTTCTAGACATTACCATTCAAACCTGATGCTGTTCCTTGATGTCTTTCATACACTACGCTGTTTGTTTCAAAGGATGCGCTCCTGTTCCCATGCAGGGGTCCACCCTCATGGAACAGCTTGCAGGATCAAGGGCTAAATAAGAAAATTCTTGATCTCAGGAATTTACTCATGTAAATGTGAGGCTGATTACACAGAGGCTTAACAAACAAGTGGTACTGAAAATATACTTCATTCTGAATGACATGCTTCAGTTATGACTTGATTTATACTGTTGCATTTCTTTAAAAATCCAATGTTTTAATTTTTTTATTAATAGCTATGCAGTTGCTCCCTAAAATCCCAGTGAGAGTTGGGGGTTTGGTGTTCTGGTCACTATACGGCCTTTTAGTAATAAATCTGTTCTTGACTACCATTCCTGCATGCTCAGATGATTCCATTTCTCTCTCTGAAAGGGCCTCTAAATCTATTTCCTGGAGAAGGAAATGACAACTTTTGACAGACTTTAAATCTTTATATGGAAATAACTTCCATCTCCTTTAAAATGGTTTTATCCAGGATGGCAGTTTTTTGGGGTCTCTATTGTATCGCTACATTTCCTTCATTTAGTTACTTACAATGCTGAATGGTGCTGTGCTATAAAATGATCTGAAATTTTCAGTTGTGCATGAATAAAGTATTCAGCAGATTTGGAGTTGGAGCTGTCCTTCTAATGGAGGATCTTGCAAACATTGTCATATCTCTACTAATAATAGAAGAAAATGTTTCTTCTCCCACCCTTACCTTTTCATTTCCTCTGCGGTGCTTGAGCCTCACTGTTTGAGGAAACACTTTTCTAGAAAACTTTCTGTGGTTGTCAACTCTCAGGCAGACTAGTGACACTGACTTAAGGCTTGAGCATTCTGAAAATGTGACTAAGCATACATGCATGCTGGGACCTGAAGCACCCAGGTGTTTGCACTCTACACCCTCTTGTGTTGATCTTTGTACCAAATGTGCCTTTAAAAACTAATAACTTGCAGGTCAACACTACCATGGTGAAATATGTAGCAACATTATATGTAAAGTTATGAATTCCCCCATATGATGTTACTAGAGCATGTTCAAGACCAGGTGGCCTTGCCTAGGTAAAGGTGTTAAATGGTTCAATCCTAAACAAAGGAATGGGGGTTTGCCTTAATTTAAATATAAGCAGTAAACATGATCATCAAGACAGCAGGGGGAGGAGACTGCAGGAATCAGAACAATTTGTATTTTAGCAAATACCAGTGTGTGTGGGGAAAACATTGTGGAGCTTCCTTCAGTATCAGACTCCTGTAAGTAATAGCAAGAAAATGCATTAGAGTATCTTTTGTTTTAGCTTGTAAATTTTCCCTATGCTAAGAGGGAGGTTTATTCCTGGTTTTTTGTAACTTTAACGTTTTGACTAGAAGCACAGGAAGGGAAGAACAGCATTAGGTCATCCTACCTCTTGAAACAAAAGTCATTGAACTTTGGAAGATAAAGCAAAGACAGAAGCCATCTTCGGCATTCGTCACTGGACAACACACAAGGGAACAGAGCTCTTGCAAGCTGAGAAAGATGGGCCCTTCAACCAAGTGTGGGGTGGAGTTAAGGCTCTGGGAACTAAAAATAGGTGAGAAACCTGCTTAGGCAAAGATCTTTCACTTAGGAAGACAAGGGAATCCAGCATCTTGTACTTCTGTGGAAGATCCAGAATGAGGGGAAGTCAGTCATGGGTGGTAAGAAGATTGAGAGAAACCACCTTGATCAAAGCCTGCACCTTGCTAGATTAAGTTTTAGACTTTTAGATGCATGTTTTCACTTTTATTTGCTTGTAACTGTTTCTAACTTTATTCCTTTTACTTGGCATCACTTACTTAGTCCTATTAATAAATTTGTTTTATTTTAAACCAACTCAATGCTGTGTTTAAATGGAAGGGTGTTGTTACCCCAATTAAGTTGATAAGCTGTGATGTGCTTTTGTGTCTTTTAGAGGAACAAATGAACATTATTTCTCTGAACTGTCCAGGACAGGGCTGGATATTACAGATCACACGGTATGGGAAAATTCAGAATTGGGAATATCTTGCAAATAGTAATCAAGGCTGGCGGAAGCCAGAGTGGGGCCGAGTGTGGACAGTCTGCTGGGGTCAGAGCTGCTGAACCAGAGCTGTCTAGCACGCAGACACTCAGGATGTGATGTGCATGCTTGTAGACTGGTTCTGAGTGTCCCAGGATAGGAGCTACAGCAGTGAAGCATTGTGAGGCACCCAGGGTTGCGGGGAAAGTAGTGGCCCAATCCCTTATTGGTCTGGATTGCACCCTGAGCCGTGTAACACATGCACACCAAATTTGGTGTTTAAAATCTCTAGCCAATTCTATTTCTTTTGGCATATTTCTAAGGCATTTCATTTTCAGTTTATACTGGTTTTTTAGCTGAAAAAATTTGGGGTTTTACAAAAACTCTTCACTTTTTATTGATTTGTTTTTTACCTCAACATTGGGCCACTCAAGTACCTGAAAATACTTATGTTAAGAAAATCTGATGCATTCCATTAGGTAGATGAGTTTGTTAATAAGTTAGTCTAAGTGTAAATGCAAGGTTGTCTGTTTACGTAATATAATGGAAGATGTGTGTGTGTTTATGTACTGTTAATGTACAGTTCATGAAATAAGCCATACCATTAAACTACATTTACTTTTCTTTAATAGTTGCTTTGTTCGGTATTCCCATCCCAAATATTAACCCAGAAAACTTCAAAGTTCATTCTTTATACCAATTTTTCACCCATTTTTAATTTTTGTTAATAAACATTGATAAATTCCTGGGAAGTTTTAAACAGTAAAAATCAGAAATGAAGAGTCCTGCTTATTTATCTCCACTTCACTTTATCTGAGTCAACTGCAGCCGTGGTGAATTCTTGCAGCAGCATACAAGAGTTCAGTCCTTGGACCATATTAAGGGAACGAAGCAACTTAACAATATCACCCTGTGTTCAGTTTATTTACATGGGCAGGCTTCAAGCTCCTGTGCTTCCGTAATTCCCACTCTACCCTTGCCTTCCAACTTTCAATTGTATGTATCTACTGCCATTTTCCTCACCAATTTTCCTTGTTACTCTTGGGTTTTGGCCCAACAACCTTGTCCTGTGAAACCTACAAATTGTTCCACTTAGCTGGCTCTGCTCTTCTGTTGTTTGTATTTTGTTTTCCTTTGTATATTTGCTGATTGTTTTTAATACAATATTTTTTTAAAATTTAATTACTTAGGCTATTCCTGCCTTAGATACCATAGCACTAGGTACCATAAATAACCTCAAAAATTTATTAATGTAATTGGTGTATGTAGTAACATGCCTGTTTCTTATGATTATGGTGACTACAGGAAACAGGAGGGAAAGAAATCTGTTGTGTGTTCAAACTGCAGATAGCTAACTACCTTCTTGTTAAACAAGCCTCCTTATGTAGCCTTGTTACTGCATCTCAATATCATGCAGTAACTGCTCCTCCATGACAGTCTTTCCTTTTGAGTACAACTTAGCAATTGTGCCAAATTGTACAGGGCCCCATTAGTGTGACTGTTCTCAAGGTACCCAGGACTGTGAATCATTGTTACCCCATGCCTCCAGCAAGAGGGAGTCTTTCTTGGGATAGCTGGGTGTTAGGGAGTTAATGCCACCACCCGTTCAGCCACTCACGTGCACACTTCTGGCTATGCTCTCTTTAACTAAACATTGCAAGTTAACAGTAAGTACACCCAGGACCTGAGTCCCTCAGAAGCATTCCCCTGCAATATCCAGCCCCTGACATTGTCTGCTCACAGAAATTCCAGATCCTTTACACCCAAAGGTGCAGAGTACCCCAGTTTACCTTAAACCAGTAGTTTTCAAACTGCAAGTCCTGACTGAGTACTGGGATGCGGAATGTAAGGCACTGGGTTGTAGCGGCTCTGGTCAGCACCACTGACCAGGCCGTTAAATGTCCTGTCAGCGGTGCTGCCTGGCTAAGGCAGGCTAGCCCCTACCTGTTCTGAAACCGCGCTGCATGCCGGAAGTGGCCAGCAGCACGTCCTGCTCCTGGGGGGGGAGGGACACAGCTCCGCGCACTGCTCCCGTCCTTAGCACTGGCTCTGCACTCCTATTGTCCAGGAACCAGCCAATGGGAGCTAGGGGAGGGCGGTGCCTGTGGGCGAGAGCTGCGTGGAGCTGCTTGCGTGCCTTCGCCTAGGAGCCGGACCTGCTGGCTGTTTCCATGGTGTAGCGCGGGCCGCGGTGCCAGGACAGGTAGGAAGCCTGCCTTAGCACCCCCGCTGTGCCACTGACTGGGAGCCACCCAAGGTAAGCCTGTGCCCCAACTCCATGCCCTACACCCCTGCCCCAGCCCCCCAAAGCTGGAGCCCCTTGCACCCCAAACACTTCAGCCCCAGCCCCACCCCAGAGCCTGCACCCACATCCCTGATCCCCTCCCAAACCCCTCATCCCCAGCTCTGTTGGATTGCAGGCATCAACAATTTTCTTCAATTGGGTCGCCAGAAAAAAAATGAAAAACACTGCCTTAAACCACCACTCCTGTAAACCACACAGAACTTAAATAGACCTACTTTTGTTTTATAAGAAAGAATAAAGATTTAAGTAGAAATGAGGGTGGTGAAAACAGAATTACAATACAAAACAAAAACATCAAACGTGACCTTGGGGACCTTTTGCCAAGGAGCCTCTGCATCACAGTAAGTTTCTACCAAAGGTTACTGGTGTGACCAGGTCCCTGGGATGGACCATATTGAGAATGCCACACTCAGGGCAGACTGCAAGAAGCAGGGCAGGCAATCCCCCAGAACTGGTAGTTTATTTTATAATTAGATTCACCAAAGCAGTAACAAAAGAGCTTCTGCAGTAGCACATTGTTTAACCAGAAACTAAACACAGTCCCCCTTAGGTATTCCAGTCCTTGGCTCCCATCCAGACAAACAGGTCTAATATATGTGAGGTTCTACTAATCCCAAAGGACAGACTCTTGCCCCCAGGTCAATATATATGTCAGATCTTACCCAAATATACTGTCAGCCAATCCTTAGTAAACTAACTAAAGATTTTATTAATAAAAGAAAAGAAGAGATTGAATGGTTAAGGAATCATATACATACAAGTGATTGCAAAGTCCTTCTATTATGTTTGTAGCAACAGTGGAATAGACTGCTCGCTTGCAAAAGTCTCTGTGGTAATTTCCAAAAGATTGGAAGGTACTCAGTCAATAGTTCAAAACACTCCTTTTAGTTGTAAATCCACGGTCCAGGGAATTGGAACAGGAACGAGGCAAAATGGAGATGTCTCAGGTATCCTTTATAGCCTTTGCCATGTGCATAAAAATTTGTCTCAAATGAAGCCTACAGCCCCTTGTATGGAAAGTTACTAGCCCAAGATGGAGTCCAGGGTTACATGAGCATAGCACATGCCCCTACTTGTTTTGCTGAATCACAGGAGGTGGCCACTGGCTCCCCGCTGTCTGAGGCTGCCACAGGAAAGGCCTACTAGGTGGGATGAGATTCTTCAGTGGCCCATTGTGAGAGTGGAGTGTCCTTAATGGGCAATTAACAGATAGCTGTCTATAGCCCTGATATAAATCTATCTGGCCGAGGGGGGTGTCACCTAAGAACAAAACACATGTTTGCGATTCAGATACATAGCCAATATTTATAACTTCAGATACAAAGATTATACCTGAATGTAAACAGGATAATCATACTTAGCAATTCATAACTTTTCTATCGATACCTTACATGACATACTTTGTACAAGACTTATGGAAATTATGTAACAGTGGTAATAACAGTAATAACAACAGTGATATAAATGGTCACCTTTCTTATACATCATCACAACTGGAAACCATCAAGAACACTTCATTGAGAACGTAAGCCAAATGTGAACTCTGGTCTTCAGAGATGCAAGGTAAGTACATTTTACTACTGCATCTGTATCCCCTCCCAAAAGATCACTTCTGTTAGCTGGACTCAACACTAGATTTCTCTGTTCTTAGTTTTCATTTCAAACAGCAAGCACTTCTATTTTAAATCAGTAGCAGGAGGGCTGGGGGGTTGGATATAGCAACCTCCCACATCAGTGGGTGAGACCAGTGGAAAGTTGGAGTTCTGGAGTTAGAGGATTTTTAGGTTAAGGATACCGATTGAGATTGTAGGGGGAGGGAAGGCCCAAGAGTGAAGAAGGCTTTCTCAATTCATTCTGAAATACATTTATGATAGAGTTTTGTGGTTTAGATTGCGGCAACAAGTCAAAGGCCATCTAAGGTCATTACTTGGACAGTGCAATCCCCAAAGCAACGTAGGTGCCTAAACTCCAGTTAGGCGCCAAA